AGAAATAATCCAGTTTGAGACCCCTTTAACTGTCCTGGCTCAGTGCTAACAAACCCTTGGATCTGTAGTTTATTGTGGCACCACAGGTCCCTGACAGAGAAGGCAAAACGTCTCACAAAACTACAGTTCCCAAAATTCCCTAACACTGGTCTCAAACTGGATTATTTCTGCAGTGTTTTTTCGACCTCTGTCATCCTATCATCAATAGCCCTGCTCAGGCCTTGCAGATTCAGGACCATGGTTTTCTTGACGGGGGGAAGCACACCAGGGCGTCCGAGACGCCCTGGGCCGGTGCACTGCGGGGCCATGGCAGCCGCACCGCGGCGCACCGATGGCGTCCCTAAAAGGAGCGCAAAAATAGCGCTCCTTTCAGAAGACAGGGAAAGTGAGCCCTAAACGTGTAGGGCGCACTTTCCCTGACTTTTCCGCTGCAGTGCGTGCGGTCGCTGTGGTGGGAGGTTGCCCTGGGAGCGCCGGCCGTGCGGACGGCCGGCAGCTCCGAGGGCAACCTCGGGAGGAGGAAGGGGCGCTGCTCGTGCGGCTGCCCCTCCTCTTCCAGGCTTCAAAGACGACCCTATTAGTCGTCTGCCGAGGCCTTAATCTATCCATCTGTAATGTGGTCTTCCTTTTTTCCTACTGCCTTCTACCTTACCTTACCACTTGCAAGACCTGGGCAAGGCTATTGTAAAACTTGGCCAGAGTTATTGATAATATTGATATGAATGAGAGACTCAGAGGTCTCTCATTCATAGAGTTGCCATAAGACAAAGTTGGTAATTAATAAAAACAATACACTCTGTATTGATTGATTGATTGGTCTTCATTTAATATATATATATATATATATATATATGTATATTGCCCTTCAATAGAAATTAGTAGAATCAACTGAGTCCAATAGAACCATGTAATGAGAGCCAGTGTGGCATAATGGTTTAAGCGTTGGATTATGACTCTGGAGACCAGGGTTCAATTTCCCACTCTGCCATAAAGTCCACTGGGTGACCTTGCACAAGTCACATACTCTCAGCCTCAGGGGAAGGCAATGGCAAACTTCCTCTGAACAAATTTTGCCAAGAAAATCCATGATAGGGTTGCTATAAGTTGGAAACAACATGAAGATACACACAATATATATACAACAATATATATATAAGCCACACATAATAATGTAATGCTATTAAAAAACAAACAGACTTGCAGATGAAGACTCACAAAGCAGTGTGGTTAAAAGGTGGTGTGAATGAAAAGGTTTTTGACACCTAAAAAGCAATAATATTATGAAAACCTCACCTTAGAAAGCCACAAAGAATAACCATTAGTGATGCCTGCCTCAACTTTGATGATCATAATATACTAATAGATCATTTAATATGATTTAGGGCCTGAACAGACAGGCCAAATAAAGCAGCTTTGGGCCACTTTGGAGGTATGCTATTTAAACATCGCACACGTCTTAAGACCAGAAGCAGTGCCAAAGCAGTCCTAAGGAAGCTGCTGCATTTGGCCTATCTGTTCGGGCCCATAGTTTCTTAGGTAAACACCTGAGATGATGTCAGTCTATAACACCATGCACACACCTGGGATAAGATCATGGCTCAGTAAGTATGTGTTGGCTTGATCTGCATAAAAATTGTACAGCTACACTGAATGTTGAGACAGATTTGCTGTAGCTGGCTTAGAATATTCCATAGAAAACCCAATTTTTTCATTCTGTAATGTAAAGGTGGGAGATTGTGTGGTTTGCAGGCCTCATATAATGTACAAAAGTTCTTTGTACAAACCTCAAATCCCTACCCATCACTAAAAATTTGGACAAAAATGGAAAGTTGTACCACTAGAGGCCTTTTGCAGGGACAATTCTCCATTTAACTGCTTCTCCCCTTGTTTAGATCCCAAATAGCATTTTACTAGATGTGACCTTCCCTTCATTCTTAGTGGTGGCCCAGGATGGTAGAGAATGTTGTAGTGCATCCACTGGTCCCTCTGCTAATGTCCTGATACATGTTTGGTTCCTCCATACCTATATCTTGTAGACGCTTGATGCTACTTTGGCTTATCCCTGTCAGTCTGAATCTGTTTGGGTTTTCTCAGAGCTGCCATGTTGGTCACCTAGACTTTCAAGGTTGAAAAGCCCATAATTCCCATTTTAAGCCTTGGTCTATCAGGAAATTAACAGGAGAACAAGTTGTGGCTTTATACTAATATTTATTTCCACACTAATATTTATTCTAGTAACACAGATAGGACAGATAAATAAGCTCTCCTCAGTGACACAACTTACATAGACCTTGAATCAGCTTACGTACATTCTTAAAACATATAGTAAAGCATTACACTCCCTCTCCTAGTATGTCTTATATAGTAAAGCATGATATAGTAAAGCATTATATAGTAAAGCATTACACTCCCTCTCCTAGTATATCTATTTATATAGTAAATTATATAGTAAAGCATTACACTCCCTCCCTTAGTATGTCTATTTAACCTTATTTCTACACCAGCATTCTGCTGGGTATTAGATAAGAAGCAACATCAAAAAAGGAATAGCTTACCACATGTAGGAGTTTGAGCTATCAGCAACTACTTGGCAGCATCATCCTAGAGATGGACCAGTTTTGCCGATAGCAAAATCCAGTGCTTTGTTATTATAGCATGCTACAACCCTTATTGTAATGTGTCAGTTTGTCACTGATGTGCAACTGTTAACATTTTCGGGGCCAACCTTATTTGGTATGTCACCTAGGTCACTGAGACTAGAAGAGGGTAAACTAGCCTCTCCAGATACTGCTAGACTACAGTTCCCACAATCCCTTAACTACTGGCTGTGCTAGTTGGAGCTTTTGGTAGGGGAAGTCAAAAACATCTGGAGTAGGGATGCAAGTTTTTGTTTATTTTCTTCTTGCATGCAGGATGAAATCATTTCAAACTTATCCCCCAAGTGTGAGATTAGTAGAATTTCAGAATTTCATAGTTTTGAACTTTTTGCAAAATAAATAAATCACCCCAAACACCATTGTTTAAATGTAGAAAATAGTGGTTTTGTGCAAAATACACACTCATCTGGCAAAATGTTGATTCTGGTACAGACATATTCACTTTGTGCAAGTGTTTTCCACAAAGTCCAAGCTTTATTGTACTATTTGTGCAGTTTGTTTTGCAAAAAGGTCCCAAAGTCTAAATGGGTTGGAAATCTAATGGTGGTTAGTCCTGTTTTTCAATGGACCGTCTCACTGTGTTGAGACAGATTTTTTCTCAAGAACAAGAATATTTGTCCTGAGGAACATTTCTTGTCCAGAACAAGAATAGTTGTGAATATTCCTTACAGCCTTAATCTGGAGGGCCAAAGGTCCCATACCACCAACCTAGTGTTTGGGCATTTGACATGAATTTAAGGGCAGTATCAAGTTGTGAGCATCTAATCTGCTGGCCATGTGCACATAAGTGTTTCTCCTCTTGGCAGTGCCAGCCTGACCCATTCAGTGGACTTATCAGTGCTGGTGGATAATGGTCAGCTGCATGAGGCTCTCTCTCAATGTGTTTCATGATTGTGGCATTGCTTAAATGTAGCATGTCCATTGTTTGTAGTATTGTTCCAGGGCACATTTGCTACCAGGCAAATCCAAGATTGGAGAGGTAAGTGATTCTGGGAGAGGAATCAGCACTATTGAGCCCATTGGGGGTGTTAGGTACTGATTGTTACCAATAGACATTAAATGCTGCCACCCACTAATGGGGGAGAACCATGCCCCCCTCTATTTTTAAGCAAATGATCTAATTGGTACTTCCCAGATGAAAGCCAGAGTTAGGGTCTATGCAGACGGGCAAAATGGGGTGCTTTGAGGGTGACTTGTAGGTGTGGCGTTTAGATGACGCATGCCTAGAAGTCACCAGGAAAGAGCCCTCTAGCCGTAATATACCAAAAAAAAAAAAAGCCATTCCAAAAAGGAGCCGCTTTTTTCTGCTCCTTTGGTGAAAATGAGCACCTTCACATGTGCATATGTATGCAGCAACACCGGTGCACCAGAAAATGGCTGTATAAACGTGCGGCGGAAATTGACTCAGCAATCCAGAGCATGCGCCCTACGATGCAGGCTTTCATTTAAAGTGCCCTATGCTTCCAGGTGTGGATGCACGGGCACAGGACCACTTGAATATTAGATTCCTAATCCTAACCCTAATTGTAATCCTACACTTGTGCCCTAGCAACTGTCCTCTGTTATGACAATAAATGCATTCTGTTGCATGTACGCTTGCTGTCAGCATGAACAGCAATTTGCATGAAAAAGGCTTTTGTGAACTCTTCTGTGCAGGTGTGCATAAGACCTGCACACCACTTCCTGGCATGCTGGGGGGGGGGGGCTTCTGGAGTAATATTTGTCTGTGTGTCCTGTTGACCATGTCACTTGCATGACCACCAGCTGCATGTATCAAGTCTGTCCTCACAAACCTCCCTTGCATGTACCTCTCCCCTCCCCCCTGACCTGTGTAGGACATGTTGTGGAGGACGATGGAGTAGGTGTAGCAAAGCAAGCAACTTCATTTATAGACTGCTTCATATTGCGCTATGGGATGTCTAAGCTGTTTTCAGTTGACAAACCCGTTCCTTCACCCCAAGGGTGGCACAATCAGACAGTGGCACCTGTCTACTGTACCCACTCCTTGGGGGGAAGCAGAGGTCAGTGAATCCTTGCATGATCTTTGGCTGTATGATAGGTCCTGTGCAGGTGCTCAGGGATGCTGAACTTCAGGGCCTCGGCAGACGACTAAAAAGGTCGTCCTCAAGGCCTGGAAGAGGAGGAGCCACCGCGCGAGCGGCGCTCCTTCCTCTTCCTGAGGTCGCCCTGGAAGCTGCCGGCCCTCCGCACGGCCGGCGCTTCCAGGGCAACCTCCCGCTGCAGCGACCGCATGCGCTGCGGCGGAAAAGACAGCGAAAGTGCACCCTACGTGTTTAGGGCGCACTTTCGCTGTCTTGAGGAAGGAGCGCTGATTTAGCGCTCCTTCCAGGGACGCCGCCGGTGCGCTGAGGTGCGGAGGCTGCAGTCCCGCGGCGCGCCAGCCCAGGGCGTCCTGGACGCCCTCGTCTGCTTCCCCCCTTAGTCACCTTTGTGCACAGAGAGTGACAGACTGTATACTAGCCTATTATAGGTCCTGCGCAGGTGCATAGGTGTGCAGAGATGTGTTCCTGCGCATGTGTGCATGCGTTTGAGAGAACAACAACAACAAAAAATTAAAGCAGCTGCTGCCAGCCCATGTGGTTGCTCTGTTTCCCTTTGCAGAGTCCTTGGGGTCAGTGGTGCGGTTGCTGGGGCTTCAATACAGCCTCGGAAAAGCTGCATTGACTCCCTCCAGTACGGTTGCTCTGTCCCCATTTAGGGCATCCTCAAGGTAGGCAGTGCAGTTGCTGTAGCTTAGGGAAAAGGCAGCTTCAGGTCACCTTTTCTTGCCCATCTGCATAGCCCCTAAGCTTCTGGCTGGAATACAGTTATCCACTGGATTGCACAGATCTCTAATTTTATAATGCAGCGTTTGGCTGGAAAATTGAATACAGGAATGTATGCATCATGGGAAACTACATGCACAGTTTCCCCTAAGATACACATTTTTTTTAAAAAAAGAATGTGCTGCAAAGAATCATATACAAAAAATGCAGGAATAATTGAGCAGCATGGGCCTATGACTGAATGCATGTAAAACTGATATGGGACTGGCCATAGAGAGAGCTGTCTATCTAATTCTTCCACCATCTGTGAAAGAATTGTTGTTTTCCTTATTTTCTCCTTCTCATATGGGCTGGAATGTGGGATGTGTTAGGCTGCCTCAGCAGTCTGGATGTGTGGCTTCTTCCCTTGCCAAAGGTTACAACTTATTTAAACACACTGAGCTATTGCTTTCTTGGGTTGGCCATTGCCCTTCTACAAATATACTCAACTTCAAATCTATTCAGTTGCAATGGACCTGAATTATTCCAATGGTTATTTTCAAACT